TCTGTTTGGTGGGAAATGTGTTTTTTTTTGGGGGGGGGGGGGGGGGAGTTACGAGTAAGATAGTTCTACTAGTGTGCCAAATTGTCCTGCTCATGAGGACAGAGCGTGTACTAGTAGCTGGCTGTCGGGAAAAATCCGCATATGGAGCTTCTCGTCTTGTCCCGTTCCAAAGCGGAGATGTTGTTTTTTGAGCCCCTGCAGGCTGTGAGCAGCACTGCAGTAACTTATCTCAACACAACAAGTGGACAAATGAGTCATTTCCGCTCCAACTTTTCAGAAGATGATGATGATGATGTTCATTGATGTGTATATAACCAACTTTGTGTCTCATATATAAATATTTTTTCTATATTATCAGAACGTGTGCAGTCGTTTCGTCACTTTGGAAGGCAAATATTACCTCCACTCCCAGCCCCCCCCCCCCCAACCCCAAATTTACTACAGTTCAGCTGTTTCTGTCTGTGCAACTGTCTATTTACTCAACCGCAGCGGGTACATGGCTATTTTTTACAACGTGCATCTGTCATTTTAGGTTTTGTTTGAGGTGTGGTGTTTATTTATTCACGGGAGCAGAGGCAACTATTTCAGGAAGGGAGATGCGACTGGAAAGACCTTCATAATAAAAGTTGTACATTTGAAAGTGGGCAGGAGATCTGACTGGCTGGTGTGAAGACCTTCAAAATAAAATTGCTGCACTGCAACGCTCGTGGTGAAACTGGCTCGATGTGACATGCCATTGCAAAGATCTTCAAGATAAAAGCATTGAAGTGTAAAGGCCTTCAAAGTGAAGGCACTTTGTTGAAACTCCATCCGAAATGTGACATGCAGGCACATGCCGCCTTCAGAATAAAGGCAAAATTGTGAACTGCAGTGACTTTCGAATGAAAAGTGAGTTAGAAATATGTAAAGCTCTCTAAAATAAAGCTTTTATACTTTTGTAGCATTCAGAAGACCTTCAAAATAAAACGCTAGGTGATGTGATGTGATGTGATATGTAACAAATAAAGGCCCACCCATGAAACTGGCTAGATGTGGCATGCTGATTGACTGAAGGCCTTTAAAAATCAAAGCGCAGCTGTAAAACCGGGGCGCTGGGACGTGCGAGTGTAAATAACTTGTAAATCAAAGCACTGCAGCGGGTGTTAGAGCTGTGACAACCTTCAAAATAAGAGGTATTTCGTTGGAATTGAATAACAATTGTGACATGATGCTGCCAAGCCATTAAAACACTCCAGCGTCAAGACCTTCAAAATAAAAGTTGTGCCGTGGCCTGCTAAATGTGTTGTGGAGTCAACAGTACAACTGAGGGTTGCAAAAAAGACATTCAAAATAAAAGCTGTACAAAGTGTAAATAGTGAAGAGACATACATCCAGACTGTACGACGTGCTACACTGAGAAACTGAGAAACTCTGTCGCTGTCCATGCTGTGTGCTCTCGCTTCACAATAAAGTTGATTGGAAAAATAAAATCCAGAGATTGCGTCAGTGGATTTACTTGACTGGCAAAACTATACACACTCTGTTCTCAAGTACAAGTACAAATACTCATTTGTTTTTTTAAAAAATGGAAAAGTAGAAGAATTGATTTAACTCATGTAAAAAAAGTAATTGAGCTTTAGACAAACGTAGCCCTTTGCTACTATCCTGGTCCTAGGCACTATGTTAAAGTGATTGGTAGATGCATCAAAAGTAGCGTTTTGTTGCATCTTGTAGCGTCCTGGTGCCAAGAAACAAGGTGAAGTTCATGGTGGAGCGCCATTTAGACAAAAGCAGTGCTTTGCTGCCATCTTGGTGCCACTGAACTATGACCGGAGACTCTAGCCGGTGCGGTACTGGGCAGTGCGTCAGAGCCATTTAAGTCTTGCTTGGTCAATTGAACTCAAGAACGTATCCGTGTTTGTCGACCCGTGCACGATGTCATCTTTTTGTGTGTGCTCGTTTATTTGAAACAAAACGAAGGCACACTTGTTGTTCTTCGCTGGTGGTCCTCGGACAACACTTCGATATTACGCACGACCTTTAACATGATTTTGCACTTCCGTGTCAATTTTACGCATCCCGAAAATTTACCCACGCGAAATTTCCTTGGCTTTTCCAAAACCTGAAGCCTTTTATTTTGAAATAACAAGGACCGAGAAAATGAATTTTCAATTTACAACCCGTTTCCAAGGTTTCCGGAATTATGACATGATCAGGACAGGTGTACCTAATTTTATGGCACGTGACTGTGTTACGCTCTCATTTGTCATAAAATCATCGCGGTTGTGCCATGGCATTTTTTCAAAAGTTTCGTTGATCGGACGGCTCAAACTCAGACTTTCGGGGAGTGTCTTGTTGTACTCGCCTGCCCTCTGTTGTTCATTCCTCACACTGCAGGCTTTATCCAAAGACAAGGACAACTTGACCGACTTTTTTTTAAGTTGCATTTATCACACAAATCTAGTGGAACAATGACAGTATACAAAGCACATACAAGTATTTATTGATACATTCCATTTTTTTTCTGATCATATAAAACACGAAAGAGCACCCATATTTTTTTCGCTGGTTCCTTCCAGTCAAACATCCCGCGATTAATACATGAATTATATTTGAGACGAAAATGCATAACGGTACCGACAAGTTAACAGTGATCCAGTCAGGAGTATTGGCACTAAATGTTTCCAACGTGTGGAACAACAACAATAATATTAATAAACAACAGCGTGTGTGTGTGTGTGTGTGTGTGTGTGTGTGTGTGGACTATATAACTAAAGCAGATATTATGAAATACATATTTAACATTTATGGGGACTTTTTGGATTTTATTTTGAAAATGTTGCGAAGTTTTCCTCTTTTTTTCTTTACCAAGCTGGTGGACCACCATTAACAGAAAAAAAAACAGGTTTGCATTTTAAACATCTTCACTGTTTGCATAAGTGCAATTTAGAATGTTCCAGTCATCTGTCATGCATGTTTTTGGAATGTGGGAGGAAACCGGAGTACACGGAAAAACCCACACAGGAGAACATCCAAACTCCACACAGGAAGGCCGGAATCGAACCCTGCACCTCTGCACTGTGAGGCGGACGTGCTAACTACTCGCCCACCGTTGCTGCTCAATATGAAACTTAACACATAAAAATCTGAAACGTATGTTAAAATGTGAAACAGCCCAATCGATCATCACATTGATGGTTTACAAAGTGGAAATGTAAAAATGTTCAAAGTTAAAAAGTGAGATTTAGCATGTTATGTAATACTGAATTCTTTCATTTTCCTGGTGTTGCAGCAAAACGCTTTTGTACGTTGCAAATCGGACGCAATATTAATATGAATTGAAGAGTGCGCGCGTGCACGTGCGTTGTGCTCTCGCACGCCCTCAGCCCAACGTGTGCCGCTGCCCCCGCAGTCCTCGAGTCACGTGCTTTTCACCTTCTCACAAACGATAGAAAAATGGCGTCATGTTTTTCAAAGAAAACATCTGGAGCACTGGCTCACTGTTAACAAGTAGTCAAGATGCGGCCGGGTGGCAGAAAACCCTGTGATGACCTCTGACCTCAACTGAAATGCCCACCAATGTAAATTATGGGCCAAACACATCTTCTTGACTGACAGTGTGCACGCTGAAAAACGTTTTTCGTCAAATGGCTTATTTTGGGCGCCATTTGCGTTTTTGCCACTGTGAAGCCCAAGTGACGTTGCGCTGACAAAATGTTGCCAAATTGCTCCTGTAAAAACGCTTTCACGGTGCTTTCTGCGAAATAAAAGTGCTTCCTCCTTTTCCCGCCACACTTACAGTCATCGCCGTCTGCTTTTGCTCCAAAAATGCCTTCTTTGTGGTTAAAGGTCTCAAAAATCCAAATCCAAAAGTAATAACTAATTGAACGTGAAAGCACACACATACGCACACACCCATATATATTTAGATTGTGACGGCTAAATGTCTTAAAAATCCCAAATAAGATTTGACCAAAAATTGGACCCCCCCCAAAAAAAGACAGATGTTTGCTTCATATTTTCTGGCGAAGGAAGCATTAACAATTTCACTTACTAGTTTCGCTGTTATTTTGGTGAGCTTGTCTGAAGTGGAAAAATACAAAAATGCAAGTATTTGATTTCATGGTAGTCCGTTAAAGTTTCAAAATCTTGTTCAATTCTTCAAAATTTTTGGCCAAAATTCAGTGCAAAATTTTTAGAATACTAAATCTAAAATTCTATTCGATTTCTTGAATCATACATTTGGCCACCTGGAAACTTAAAATAAATAAATAAATGAAATAGCACATAAATTGTCCCTGTGGACAAATTAACCGGCTTGACGTCGTCGTCTGAGGTCAGAGTACTAATAATAAAAATTGAAACGTGTCCTCATTGAGTCAACACACTCACTGATCCTTGCTGTCACCCGGCGCTTGTTGCCGTCGCGGCGGTTGCCATGGCGCTTGTCTGAGCAGCGGTGCGCCGAAGAGCGCGATGACGCCCAGGTTGAGGGCCACGCCGAGCGCCAGCACGCCGGCCGTGCCGGGCAGGGAGGGCGCCGGCCCCGCTGCCTCCAGCAGCGCCCGCCGCGACGTCATGTCGCACAACACCGCCTCCATCTGGAAGTGTGTTGCCATTACAGCGCACACGTGGAACAGCTGATGGCTGTGGCCTACACACACACACACACACACACACACACACACACACACACACACATTTTC